GTAACCTTGGCCGACTCACCCGACTGTAACCTTGGCCGACTCACTCGACTGTAACCTTGGCCGACTCACCCGACTGTAACCTTGGCCGACTCACTCGACTGTAACCTTGGCCGACTCACCCGACTGTAACCTTGGCCGACTCTCCCTCTCAGAGCCAGATACCGATCGACTCCCACCCATAAAGGCTTACTCGGTCATTATTCGATTGGACACTCAGTAAATGGCGAGGTCCCACCTTCACTCACCAAGTATTTTCTAGATTATAACCGCTAAAGAGATCCCTATATTCACGGGGCCCATAAGGCCCGTGAACAAGAAACTATAAAATCCAAAACCCTAGAGTTAAGAAGACAGATTACACTTTTGAATGCTCTGGTTCTAAGGTACGATCTAGGAAAAAACCCTAGTCCAACCCTTGGCCGGAACAACTATCAAGGCATGTGTTTGTGCCATTAATGAATCTAACAAGATCATATCCAATGAGAATAACGTTAAGTTGAACTGTCTAAGCTGGGTAATTAGTACCATTTTGTTTGTATGTTGAAAACAACCACAAATTGGGAGGTATTAACTGGAATGTTGATAGTAGCAAATGTGGACGAGAAAGTCGTGGTGGGTGATTTTGGATTGGTGTTTTCAAGCAAAAGTTATTGATACCATATAAAAGAATTGATTATTGTGTTTCAGATGCATTGATAATGGATCTAATGGATAATATTTATACAGAGAGTTGTGATCCTAAGTTCTAGGAAGGTTCTTTACCAAAAAAAAAACTACAATCTTTACCAAAAAAAAAAGGAAGGTTGTTGCTAAACAACCTATCCATTGAGCTAATTAATATTAACAAAATAAAACTAATAAAATACATTTGAAATCATTTGAATTACAAATTCAAGTTGCACTTAAATTACGCGTTATTATCCAATAATTAGAATATAATTGTAAAAAAAATAAGATAATATAATATTTGCCCAAAAAGATTACTTGTATTTTGAAGTCATTTGCACCCATAAGCATCATTAAACTTATTTCCCTTATGTCGTCGTGATTCCTATACTTATAATAACAACAAATTATTAAACTAAAATGTAATTTTAAATTATTTAATGAATTAAATAAAATTAAATAAACTTACAATCCAAATTTTTGTTGCCTATCCCCTCTGCAACCATGATTTCACATATTGAAGTTAAATATCTCACTCAAAGCATTTGCGTATAATGATTCATGTTGGAGTACTTTTTCCACTGAATTCAAACTACACGAACAAAATGCTATTTATTCCATTAAAATGGTGAAAATTAAATTAATGAAAGTGTGTGCATAAAAAGTTGAGTGATATTATTTACCAATATTTGGGCATCTCTCACTCGTGATTCATTCTTGAGTGAGAAAGGATTTGAGTCAAACAAAATAATTTATTTGTTTTGCACATACCAAAAAGCAATGACTATTTTTCTCATTGACAAAAAATAAAACAATATATATATATATATATAAAATAAAATAAAATAAAAATTAGATTATCAAAATGGGAATATAAATAAAATAATAATAGATTTTTAGACAAACGTACGTTCATGTTTAGATGAACGTTTATACAAACACACCCTACGTCTTAGGCAGGTATTGGCGTCGGAAGCGCTCTAACCAGCTAGGAGCAGCAACCGTGTGCTCAGCAGCACGGTCAGCACGGTCCCGCCCCACAGATTAGTCCAAGGCCTGATAGCATCAGCTAATGCTCTATCATGTCTATCATCCATCTAGTTACAACATAATCAACAACTTCGTCAATTCAATAATCCATCAATATCAACTATTAATCAACACTAATCATCAAACATTCTACGCAACATCATAAATCAGGGTACACATAACAGAAACATAGCCAACACCACAAAACACATTCTCGATTTTTAATTAACTGGTCTCTGATACTACTAAATGTGACACACATCTACCCCTAAGTACAATACCAATTAAAAGGATAAAAACAATTTCAAAAATTCTCATAAAATTCACAAAAAATCTCATTTAGTCCTTATGTAGGCATAAACCAAACAAATTAGTTCATCAAAAGGTAAATAAACAGAGTAGTGTTAAACAATTACAAGTCAAATTATTGAACTAAAATAAAACAATAATATAACTCCTAAACTACTCCAATCCCTAGTATCACATTGGCATCAGATCTACACACACCTAGGCTTCCCCTTGCTCCTCCCAAGTCTGAGGGTCCTCATCTACAAAACATACCAACAAACAAAATAGGAAGTGAGAACAATCTCACTCTATAAGAAATGGGCCGCAACCCTCAACATCTCATTCCTTCATAATAAACAAATATAATGACAACAATTAATGCTTTAAAATATAGTAACAATAATTCTTACTTCACCTAAATAACAACCATTCATAAACTTTAACTTCAATAACGATATTATCCATCTCATTCACAAACACACATATAATTGTAATGCAATGTGCACCTATATCTAAATGCATGGGGTACTCGACCATCATCACCACCATCATCATCATCGTAAATATATAATTGGTATCTAAGTCCCAAGTTAACCTTAGGCTACCAACACACCAGTGTTCCCACCAGAACACCAACATCAGGTTCCCACTAGAACCTCAACATCAGATTCCCACTAGAACCTCAAATATGCAATTATGATGCACGTCACCATCATGCAAATACTTTTATACTATCACATCATGTTCATCGTTTAAATCATTGTTCACCAATATCTATATCAATCCACATCAAGTTTATCAACATGAAAATCATCTATCACAAGATATGTACGTCATTCACCATCATTTCATCTATCGTTCGTCAACATATATATATATATATATATATATATATATGTTCCTGTCGTAAGTCCGCTATCATCGTTAGGGTCACCGCATCCGAGGTATTGTCCGCTTTGGCGCTCGTTGGGCCATCACGGTTTTGTCCTTGAAAAGGCGCCTCGGTGGGTTAAGGAGGAAGGGTGTTTATAAACTACCCTTAGCATCGACTCCTAAGCGATGTGAGACTTTTAGGCATACCATAACAAGCCCCCCAGTCGATGCTAAGGGGCAAGAGTGATTTTTTCCCTCTCTAATTTTAATTTTTCTAGTAGTGTACACGGATCTGAACAAGGCGTGCCCTAAAGATGCCTATCCTCTACCCCACATTGATGCATTGGTTGACGGTGCAGCCGGCCACCAGAGATTAAGTTTCTTGGATGCTTACTCGGGGTATAATCAAATACCCATGTACCCGCCGGACGAGGAAAAAACTGCATTCATCACTGATTCGGCAAATTTCTGCTACAAAGTAATGCCCTTCGGTTTAAAAAACGTCGGTGCCACCTATCAGAGACTCATGGACAAGATCTTCCGCCACCAGATAGGGACGTGTTTAGAGGTATACGTGGATGACATGGTGATCAAGTCTACCTCGGCCGACGATCACTTAAGAGATCTAAACACGATCTTCGACGAAGTAAGGCGGCACCAAATGCGATTAAACCCGATGAAGTGCACCTTCGGGGTAGCTGGTGGAAAGTTCCTGGGATTCATGTTGTCAAAGAGGGGAATAGAAGCCAACCCTGACAAATGTCAGGCGATTATCAACATGCAAAGTCCTCGCAACATCAAAGAAGTGCAGCGGCTTGCCGGACGCATCGCCTCCTTAGCTCGTTTTCTTCCCTGCATGGCCGAGAAGTCAAGGCCTATAATGTCCCTACTGAAAAAGGCTACAAAATTTCAATGGAGCGAGGAATGCGAGACAGCTTTTCAGAACTTCAAAACAATGCTCATAACTCCACCACTATTAAGCAAACCAGACCCTCGCTTAGACATGATAATATACATATCAGTGTCGGACAAAGCCATTAGCACTGTTTTGGTACAAAAGACGACGGAACAAGTGCCGGTGTATTTCGTCAGCCGAGTGTTGCAAGACGCCGAAACAAGATACCAACATCTAGAGAAGACAATCTTAGCTCTTGTACACACCGCCAGGCGCCTCCGACACTATTTTCAGAGCCATTGGGTGCTCGTCCGAACGGATAGTCCGATAACTAAAGTCTTGCGAAAGCTGGAGTTGGCAGGACGAATGGTTGCTTGGTCCATTGAATTGTCCCAGTTCGATATTCGCTTCGAGCCTAGAGGTCCCATAAAGGCACAAAGCCTGGCTGACTTCTTGAATGAGTTCACACCCGAAGTGATCCCTGATTCTCACCTCTGGACTTTACATGTAGACGGATCATCAAACCAACAAGGCAGTGGCGCCGACATCATTCTAGAAGGTCCTGGTAAGGTGGTGATTGAACAGTCACTACGATTCGGCTTCAAGACGTCCAACAATCAAGCCGAATATGAGGCCCTTCTGGCGGGCCTAAGGTTGGCACTGGACCTAGGCATCACCAGAATACAATGTTGGAGCGACTCGCAGGTAATAACAAGACAGGTCAACGACACCTTTCAAATCAAAGAGCCAGCATTGTTGTTATACTTCCACGCGTTCAATAAGCTGAAAGGAGATTTTGAAGATGTCCAAGTCAAGCACACGCCCCGAGAACTCAATAGGAGAGCCGACCAGTTGGCTAAGCTAGCCAGTAGCAAGAAGGTTAGCCACTTGCGCACCATGATACAACAAGAATTACCAAAGCCAAGTATCACACAGGTCGAATGTTTGCAAGTTCAACAAGAAACACCGAATTGGATGACCGGGATAATAGAATACCTAGTAACCGGATCATTGCCCGCTGATCCCTTGGAGGCGAAAAAGATGAAAATCGTGGCGGCTCGGTATACCCTAATCGCCGGAGAATTGTTCAAAAGAGGGTTCTCGTCACCATTGTTGAAATGTTTGGCGCCAGAACAAGAACAATATGTAATCCGGGAAATCCATGAAGGAATATGTGGAACCCACTCAGGAGGCCGGACTCTCGCAGCCAAAATTGTCCGAGCAGGATATTATTGGCCAACTCTGATTACGGATTGCTCCAAGTTTGTTCAACAATGTAGGCCCTGTCAGCAACATGGACCTTTGACACATCAACCACCCAAAGCGTTACACTCCATCGCCACCCCCTGGCCATTTTCTATTTGGGGCATGGACATTTTGGGACCTTTCCCACCAGCAAAGGGTCAAGTCAAGTTTCTTCTCGTAGCCATTGACCACTTTACCAAATGGATTGAAGCAGAGGCAGTGGCTACCATCACGGCTAATAACGTACAGAAATTCTTCTGGAAGAGTGTCATTACCCGTTTCGGGATACCATATGCTCTGATTACGGATAATGGCTTACAATTCACTGACCGCCATTTCAATGAGTTCTTGACCGGGCTAGGGATCAAGCACAAGATGACCTCGGTAGAGCACCCCCAGTCTAATGGGCAAGCCGAAGCAGCAAATAAAGTTATTCTTAAAGAGCTGAAACGACGTCTCGGACAAGCTAAGGGGGGATGGCCCGAGCATCTGCCTGAAATCTTATGGGCTTACCGCTGTACCCCACAAAGCTCGACTAAGGAGACCCCTTTTCGGCTAACTTACGGTACAGATGCCATGATTCCGGTAGAGGTTGGAGAACCTTCACTAAGGCGAACCATATTCAACGAGCAAACCAATGAGGAAGCCCTAAACGTTGAACTCGATCTGGTGGACGAAGCACGTGATCAAGCCCTCATTAAGAAGGAAGCCTGTCAGGCCAGATTAACAAGGAAGCACCAAACCAAGGTCAAGCCACGCGAATTTCAACCCAGCGACTTAGTCTGGCGAGTCACGGGAGAAGCGAGAAGGGACAAGGCTCAGGGAAAATTGGCACCTAATTGGGACGGCCCCTATCGCATAATGCACAACTTACAGAATGGGGCGTACAAGCTGGAAGAGCTCACAGGAAAAGCCATTCCTCGGACATGGAATGCAACACACTTGAAGCATTATTTTAGTTAAAACACAATGTATTTGTTTCGGTGCACTCTTTTCCTTTTCCAGGTTTTCCCCTCTTAAAAAATTATGGAAAGAGGTTTTCCTGACAAAAGGTTTTTAATGAGGCACCATGTCAATGAAACAAGCCCCTTATTTCTCAGGAAGTTTTTATTTGGCTCAATTTAATCACAAGTAAAAATAACCGATTTCCCTCCCAAGATACCTTCTCGACCAAGGTTGAACGTAACATTCCCTCCCGAGATACCCTCTCGGCCAAGGTTGAACGTAACATTCCCTCCCGAGATACCTTCTCAGCCAAGGATGAACGTAACCTTCCCTCCCGAGGTACCCTCTCGGCCAAGGTTGAACGTAATTTCCCTCCCGAGATACCCTCTCGGCCAAGGTGGAACGTAACATTCCCTCCCGAGATACCCTCTCGGCCAAGGTTGAACATAACATTCCCTCCCGAGATACCTTCTCGGCCAAGGATGAATGTAACATTCCCTCCCGAGATACCTTCTCGGCCAAGGATGAATGTAACATTCCCTCCCGAGATACCTTCTCGGCCAAGGATGAACGTAACATTCCCTCCCGAGGTACCCTCTCGGCCAAGGTTGAACGTAATTTCCCTCCCGAGATACCCTCTCGGCCAAGGTGGAACGTAACATTCCCTCCTGAGATACCCTCTCGGCTAAGGTTGAACGTAATTTCCCTCCCAAGATACCCTCTCGGCCAAGGTTGAACGTAACATCCCTCCCGAGATACCTTCTCGGCTAAGGATGAACGTAACATTTCCTCCCTAGATACCTTCTCGGCCAAGGTTGATTAAAATGATCCCTGCTAAGACCTCTTCTCGGTCAATCATGAATGAAGTCATCCCTATATGACCTCTCGCGCGGCCAAGGTTTAATGAAATCAACCCCTCCAGAAAACATCCTATCGGCAAAGGTAGAATTTTCTTCACCCGTCAATGTCAAACAAAATCTACGAGACCGTCTCGGTCAAGGAAGAAACATTAGCCCCTTACCAACTATCCGACTAAGGGAAGCAAAAGTTTACTTCTCCAAGAACCTCAACCGAAGTCAAAATTCGCCCATTTCAGCCGAATGCTCTTTTACTTGACCACAACCGAACAATATCGCTTTGCCCACCAAAAAAGACATTCCTACCCCATCGGCCAAAGAAAAACTTGGAAGAAAACGATAAGATAAAATTTACAAGAACAAAGTACGATGTCAATAGAAATAAGAACGGATTCATTAAGACTGAGGTCAAACCGGCACTATTGGCCGAAGAGTACAAACAAGGAATGGCTCAAACGGCCCAAAAGAATCAAAAAGCAAAAGACCCCTATACCTATACATCATTAACAAAACAGATGTATAACAAAAAGCAAGACAACAGCACCCTTCAGTCCGCATGGGTGGTCTCCTCGGTTTCTTCATCTTCATTCAAGGTTGTCCCCGGATCCTCCACAGGAGCCGAACGGGGGGGGGTGCCCTTTCATCCGACTCCATGTCATCTGGCGCGTTAGCAAAATCCATAAACTCCCCTTGAAAGAAGTCTTTACTCAGCTTGAACGAAAAGTCCGGGGGAAAGGCACCGAAACGATGGGCTTGCCGAACTGCATGCCAAAACCCTTCCTCATGCTCCTTCACGATCTTGCTCTCACATTCAGCCCGGAAGGTTGCCATGGCAGCATCAGCTTCGGCCTTCACCCGAACCATTTCAGCCTGAAGTTCCTTCACCTCCTCCACCCACATCCGCTCGGCATCTTCCGCCGCCAGAACTCGGCCCTCCAACCCACCATACGCCTCCTTCCATCGAGCCACCTCGGCCTCCAACGATGCCTTTTCCCCGGATAAAGCCTCTTGCGCCGACAGGGATTGTTGCAGAGCCGATTTGGTGTCCTCTAGGCTCTTCTGGAGATTATGCATGTCCCCCATCGGTTCTAAGGCCATCTTACAAAATATGGCGGTGGCCCTCACGTGCAACTCGCACGCCATCGCCCACCGAGCCGAAGGGGTAGCCGCATCGAGCATAACATGCCCTTGGGCCGACAGTAGATCAGAAGACATCATTCAGGCCGGCCTGATCTCCTCCGTTAAGAAGTCCTTAGCAACGATGGCCGAAGGTACGGCCAAATCCGTGGAAGGACCCTCAACCCTTCCTTGCTTAGGCCAAGAGGCTTCCATACCCGCGACATCGGTCTTCTTTTTCCCCTTGTCCTTTCTCTTTCTACTCCTAGGATCGGGAAGGGCGATAACAAGGGGCGTTGGCCGAGGAGCATCCATGGCTTGAGGTCGCCGATCAATGGAAACACTACGATGATCTTCGGCAGAGGTCCCGGCCGGGGCTTTGCTCTTCATCAATTGTCGGTACGACAGTCCTAATCCTTGTTGCGCCATCCAACCTGCAAAAATCAAACAAGTCACACATCAACTTAACAAGCACAATCAATCGGAAGTAACAAAACATACCCTCTAAGTCAAAACGAGGCCGAGGCGATTTGGGCAGCAGCAGCAGAAACCGAGAGGGGATGCACTTCGGCAATCCCTTAAGAACGTCTAAAGCTGACAACTCGGCATCGGTCATCATATCCTCCGGAAAGTCATCATATTTCCGAGGTTGCCGAGTCCAATAAAAGGGAAAAAGGGGTTTCTGCTCGGCATCGTAAAAATAACCCCGGCCGGCAACAGGGTCTATGATTACTTTCACAAACCCAGACTTGAAACCCTTAAAGGACGACATAAAGGGTGTCAACAGCAGTCGGTCGGGATTCCGAATCAAGGACATCCACTTCACAGTCTTATTGGACGGACGCGTACAGAAAAAATGTAAAAACAAACCTACAGTTGGCTCTATGTAATGGTATTTACAAAGCACCCGAAACGCTTGCATATAAGCCCACGCGTTCGGGTGCAATTGGGTCGGGGCCACATTCAACACACGAAGGACCCCCATCTAGAATTCATCAAAAGGGAGCGACATCCCTAGCTCTCGAAAAAAACACTCATACATGTAGAAGAAATCTCCCTGATCTTCCCGCTTCGCCAGAAAAACCAGATCAGGCTCCCCTGGACCTTCGGCCCGACATCGTCGCAACATTATAGGTTAAGGATCCCAACCTTCCCATCGGCCCATCGTACAGAGACCAAGAAGACGTATCACGGTAGCCCTCTCATGAAAACGAGAGAAATATGCCGCCACCTCACCATCGACCCAGTCGTACCCGGGTATGTCACATGGAGGATACTTTTGCCTATAATCACCGGGACTCATCTCGGCGTCGGGTAATTCCAACCCGGAGGAACTCCCTGTATCCCCACTATGTTCCGGTCCCGACCCATTTGGACCCCCAACCTCCTCCACTTCAGCATTAAAAGCTAACATCTCGGCTTCAACATCTTGTGCCGACACCCTACCACTAGCCGAGGACCCAGACGACAATGTGAAACCTTCGGTGGCCATTATCACAAAAATGGAACAAAGATAAAAAGAAAAACACCAACCTTTGGGGTGTATTCGGCTCAGAGAAGAGACGATATGGGGAAAGTGTTGAGAAAGCATGGAGAATGGAGCTCCACCCCAATAGCTTATATAGACCATGTACGGCAACCAAAAAGCCTCGTAATAAATGCCCCTGAAAGTGAATAGACACAGCCCTAGGGCGCGGAACCCAAAGGCGGCTATGGCATGCAACGGTCACCATCCAAACGGCACACCTCTCGAAGCCCACGTTTCCCCAAAATCAAAACCCTAAAAAACTCCGAACCATTTCAACAACCCCTACGTCTTTCATCCTCGGGCTTGGGGGGGTAGTGTACTAGTTGGCACCCCTTCGGTCAGGCAATAGGCCGAAAGGGGTACCCGAACCGATAAAACACCAGCTGGCACCCCTTCGCTCAGGCAACAGGCCGAAAGAGGAGCCCGAGCCGATAAAAAACACATCAACCCTTCGGCTAGAGGGTGGGCCGAACACCTCCTCGGCATTGGCCTATGCCGAACACCCCCTCGGCCTTGGGATAGGCCGAATACCTCCACCACCACCAAGGACAGGACAAGTATCCCTTTGGTGTCAAAGTGCACCCTCTCGGCACTGACCCAGGCCGAACACCTTCTCGGCCTTAAAGTAGGCCGAACACTCCTTCGGTCTTGCACCTGGCCGAACACCCCCTTCAGCCCTAAGGTAGGCCGAACACCGTTTCGGCCACGCACCTGGCCGAAGAACTCCAACAAAGAATGAAGGTTTGACAATAATTACTTGTTATACAATAATTACCACCCTTAATTAAGAATAATTAAGGATAATTACATATTACCCATCGCCCAAGAAGGAAGGCCCACCAGGCCCACACATATCACTATAAATACACAGGTGATGTGACATAAATGAGGTACGTTACTGTTCCATATAAAGCTTTTATTGCTCTGAACCGAGTACTTACTTGATCGTCAGAGTGCCTTTGCAGGTACCCTCCCCCACCACCTGGAGGCAGTATTCGGTCGGCTTCGGAGACTTAGAAGACCGTAGGACAGGAGTGACAAGAGGAGTGTTCCTACGCAGGAACAGGGATCTTTAGCTTCCCCTGCTTCCCACATCAACCAAATTGGTACTATTACTTCCTTCTCTCCTTCAGGTAAATCTAATTCTCATGCACCTTGGATATTAGATTCTGGTGCTACTAACCACGTTTCATCTTCTCTTAATTATTTTCATTCCTACATATCCATTGATCCTATCATTGTTAAGCTACCCAGTGGTCAACATGTTACTGCCACCCATTCCGGAACAGTAAAATTTTCTGATTCTTTTTTTTAATCGATGTTCTTTACATACCCAATTTCACCTTCAACCTTATCTCCATTTCTAAACTTGTCAATACCATCAACTATCATTTAATATTTTCTTCTCATTCTTGCATTTTACAGGACGCGAGCACCAGGAAGAAGATTGGTATAGTTGATGTAATTGGAGGTCTCTATCAGTTGGCCATTCCTTCTTCTATTTCAGGTTCTACCCT